CTAAGACTAATACTACGATGACTGCAAACCACCCATTTAGGTCAAAGGCAATAAATACCTTTCTCTCTACAAGCAATTATTACTAATAGCTGCAAACGCCCAGTCTCCGCGGTCGTGAGTTAGGTGACTTTTTATACCAAGGCATGATACTTATATTTTGATTTTTAATATAATATTTATCGTTATCTATTTTCACTCATAAGAGACATAACTTGAAACTTGAAACATTCTAAATATTCTAACATTTTAATCACACAAGGTACTCGCCGTTAAGACCTTAGCAACCTGTGTATAAATAGATAGATAGATAAACAAATAGACAGATACATAGAGAGATAGACAGACAGACAAACAGATAGATAGGTAGATAGATGGACATATAGATAGATACTTGAGTACATGAATATTTGAATACATACCTAGGAGTCAACAGAAGAAAGTGACGTCACGCCTAATGCAACGTTTCCTTGCTTCTGTCTCTTCCTCCTTCATTCTCTCCCTGCCCATCTCCCTCTCTTTTCTGACCCTCCTCCCTCCCTCTCTTTTTTCTCCCTTTCCTCTTTCCTTCTCCTCTCTCTCCCGCTCTCCCGTCTCTCTTTCCCTTTTTTCTTCCTCCATGTTTCCTCCGTCTTTCCCTTTCCTCTTCTTTATTCTTCCCTCCTTATTCTCTCGTCTCTTCCCTCTTTCCCTCCCCTTACCTCTCCCAACCCCTCCTTCTTTTCCTTCGTCTCTCCCTTCCTTCCTTCTTCTCCATCTGTCTCCCCATTCACCTCTTTCTTTCACCCCCCCCCCCTTGAATAAAAAAAAAATAAAAATAAAAATAAAAAGAATAATAAAATAAAATAAAAATCTGACTGACAATAGCTGGTTTCGTTCTCATCCAGTTTTGAAATTGCATTGCTTAGGAGAGTGACGGTCAACTTTCGATTCTAAAGCGGTGAGGTCTTTGAAAAAAAAGGAAAAATGTAGAACGCTTAAGTTAGAGAAATCTATCTGAATTTCGCAACTTAAGAGTCAGTAATTGTAAGTAAGGTACCACAGCTTCCTGGCCGAGATAATTATAGGCGAACCAGAAACCGGAATATATAGAAAGCCAGTATAATTCAACGAGATTCCTTATAAGAAAAGGAAAATTTAGACAGCTTAAGAAAATCAATAAGATGACAAGTCACACAATACTGAAATGATCATGCATAACAACCTAACCCATGAAAGGATGACAGCGGATAAACACGTTTCTTAACCTTCAATTTCTTTAGTTACGCCTCGAACCAACTCCTCCGGCCAGTTTATAGAAAACGGAATTCCCTCCACCCACGAAAACCAATGACACGCAAGATGATCCAAAGATTTTTTTTTTTTCTCTCTCTGTCTTCTTCCTTTTCAGGTCCTCTTTTTATCTTCTTACGTTGCCTTATTGAATGAGCAGCGTAATACTTGAGACAGGTGTGTTCGCAAATCCCTTTCTCTTTTTGCGTTTTTTTATACAAATAGATGACACAGAAATATAAGAAAAGAGAGGAAAATTGACGCGCCAATCGACCTTCGCTAAACAGCTACGTCATGAATACGTTGTTTGTCATCTTTTAAAAGCTTTCGAAGAAATCTCCACTCGCAACTCTATGAAACTGTTGGTGATCGCTGTGTCGGTGAGAATAAGCTGTTTATATATAGTTTGAGTCGTATTCTCGGTGGAAATAATCTGTTTTTATCGTGATGATCCCTTCCTTGATGCCATAAGCTAATCCGTTCCGCCTAAACAGCTTTATAAGAAGAAATGATACAAGATTGGAAGTAGTTTTATTACTTTTATCAATCTAGGTAAATATTTACCTTCATTTTTTTTTTTTTTTTTTAATGCGTTCTGTCTGGTATTTTCTTCTTTAAATTCTTTCAGTTTTCGAAGCTGATATTTTCGTAAGCTAGTCTTTTAATCTTAATAAAGAATTTTATTACACCACCAGTTAACTTGCTAATATTGAAAGGTTTAAATTAATTGCAAAACATTGGCTATAAAAGGAACGTGACATATAATTCACTTTACATTTTTTATGCAGTGTCATAATCAAAATTCAAGCGGTTCAAATTACTTCATTAGAATCATCACGTTTTGAACAGACAAAAAAAATATATATATATATATATATAATTCCAAGACTCGACTCACAGCATCCCAGCATTTAACCAACACAAATAAAATTCAAGAAACCAAGTGGTAAATGAGACAGCAAAGCGAAGAAATACTTCCACAGGTCGAGAAATATTCTTATAAACTTCATAGCTACGAGTCTTTCTCTTAGACCAAATCCCAAATCGAATGGAAATGCGAATAGCCATCATTTCTAACATACTTTTACAATCGATAAATATTTCAAGTCTCCGTTCACTTCTGTTCATGTTCTGCTCCTTCATCGTGAGAGTCAGTCAAGAAATGGTGCTTCACATTTCAGAATTTTATATCATATTCGGTTCGTATTTTGGTCGAATTCACAGGTTACAA